ATGTGGTTATATGCCTTCTTGTTTCGTATGCCTAAGAAATTTATAATTTTTGTACTGTTGTAGCTTCTGAGATGCAACCTGAATATATCTTGCGGAAATGGGCATCTCTAGACACTGGAAAGTGCTGTAACACAGATGCAAAATCTGAAGAGGTCATGCTGCATGGTCCAAAGCTACGGCATCGGGGTGATTCCCAGCTTTTGGGTATACTTTTTTTCTTCCGGTGAATGGAAAACTAGCATGTTTCATTATTTAGGCAATTAATCAATAGGGATATGCAAGACTGCAACCTTAGACAATTTGCATACTGATTGTAGAAGCCATTCAATTAATTTTGTATTGCATATAACATTTTTTTAATAAAAAGTATAATATATGTTCAAAGAGCGCCAAAATTGTCAATCCGTACACAATTATTTACAAGTGAGTAAAAATATCTATAAGATCCCCCATATCCTCGCTAGAATACAGTGATTGTTACCTTAACTAAAAACTCAGGATATGGAACCACTGATCTTTAAGATTGTCAAAATTAGAGTTAATGCCCTCAAGAGCCTTTGTATTTCTCTCTTTCAAGATCACCCAAAAGTTAGTTAATGGGATGAGTCTCAATCACTTATCTCCTTGTATGCTACTCCAAGCCCATAACTCCTTCACAAAACCGGCTGTGACCCAATCCACACCCAATAAGCCAAATGTCAAGTACCAAACGTGATATGCAAAAGGACACCAAAGGAGGATGTGATTGCAGGACTCGACTTCTCTCATGCACAAGTAGCAGTCATTCACAGTAATTTTTCCCCTCTTAATGAGGTTATCCAGAGTAAGAATGGACCCTCAGACAGCCTCCCACATGAAAAAACTAATCTTTGGGGTTGCATTAGCTTTCCAAATCAGCCTAGTGGAAAAATTCACCTCCTTCGGTCCTCTCCTGTGAAGGAAGCAGTATGATTTTAGTAAAAAGACACCTGAAGTGCTTAGTTCCAAACATGGCTTATCACCAGTAGATTGAGCCCTTGAATGATGATAACGTCTTCAAGAGGTTCATATGTTCTAGGATTTCGCAGTCATTTAATTTTTGCTCTAGCCCCATCCACCAGTCCTAATTACTACCTTGGCCTATCATGTAATCTTACTATGGCATTCCGATCAAGAGCAATTACATAACTATTCGGAAGAAATTGATGGCATAGTGCGCCTGTCTCCACCATTCATCTCTCGAATAACTCACTATATCCCCCAACCGTGTAGACAATCTAATGCATTTACAAAGGTCTTCTTTTTTCCATAATAATTCTTTTCCACAAACTCACCCTATTCGGACCCTTGGAGTGCTAGAGAACCACCCATGTCTGTTCACGCCATGTTTGGCCTCAATGATTCTCCTCCAAAGACTCTCCTGTTCCATCTTAAATCTTCAAAGTCACTTCCTTTGTAGTACCCTATTCAAGTCTGAGAAGGATCTCAAACCCAAGCCATCCCTCCTATATGGTTGTTTCACATTCGTCCTAGACCAGCAAATGATACTTACTCTTTTCTACCATGTCTCCCAACAGAAAGTTGCATTGGATTTTTTTTGTTCTTTTTGCCACAATAGCGGGTGTTGTTGCCAGAGGCAACATGTAAATGGAGAGGATGGCTAATATGCTTTTAATTAATGTCAATCTATCGCCTTTGGGAAGTAGACCCCTTTTCAACCAGCCAATCTAGACCCATATATGTTGATCACCAGTTTCTAAGCATAGATCTCATTGAATTTAGCTCCCAATGGCAGTCCCAGGTATTTAATAGGTACATTCATTCGTTTGCATCCCAGGATTTTAGTTATGTGCTCAGTCTCATTATTTGCCTCTATCATAACCAGCTCAGATTTCGAAACATACCAATACACATTTTATTTTGAGACCTAATACTGCCTCAAAACATACTAATACACATTTGATGTTGTGCAACACACTGTCATCCCGCTCACAAAATAGTAAAGTATCTGTTAAGAAAACATGGGTCATTTCCACCCTCCTCTCATCCTCCCTCACAAACAAACCTCTGAACAAGTCAGCTTCCCTAGCTCTGGACAAAAGTCTATTGAGCACCTCCATAACCACTAAGAAAAGCAATGGACATAGAGATCTCCCTGTCTCAAGTCCTTGATGCTTTAAAAAAAGCTGAGGGTTCCCCACTCACCAAGGTTGCAAGCAATGTAGAAGAGGCACAAGCTTTAATCCATTTGCCCCATTTTTCACCAAAACCCAGCCTATCAAGCATATAGTATAGGAACCTCTAGGCTACATGGTCATACACATTTTCTA